GTATCTGAGTCAAGGCGCCCTTTGCATCTAACAAACTGACATCACTTCCTGCATTGAATCTGTTCAACACCGCGACATCGTCTGCTGTGCTGTTCGTGTTACTGAGGATGAAGCTTTGTAAAATATTAAACATTAATCCTGAACACAAGTATCAGCGGTTGCCTTATGGGAAGAAGGTTATATTTAAGTGGACGACGGGAACGGTGGCTTGTGAAGCATCAAGCGTTTGGAACAGCAATATGTATGAAAAGAAAAACTTTATTTACCTGTAGGTTGCGCAGTCGTTTTGCATGAGATGAAGCTCTCCGCGTCGTAAAAGTCAAATATTTCTTACGCAAGTGCCAGATGAGATCGCACAGTACTGCCATTCCGAGGTATTTTATTTCGCTTGACTTAACCCCATTGACGTGTCTTCTACATGTCAATTTTTTGAAGCCATCTTTGGAAGAGATTAATTCTTTGTTTTTCATTATGAAGATATACTCGAAGGCATACATGTATTTAGGGACATTGAGTACGAGTGCTTCTGTTTAAAAGTACGTCCAAACGCACGCAGTGGTGGCTTCGTTCTGTGTTAAGTCAGCTAGAGTTGTTAGAGTCGTCTTTTGCTCTCACATTTAACATCCAGTCATTTTAGGTGACGATTTTGAAGTACGGAGCGCTCTTGGTCTAATCTTTACCCTTCAATCATTCTAGCCTAGAAACCCTATCAGAATTAACTTTGGATGCACCAGGCAAGAGTGGTTTCAGAGTCAATAAGATTCGAAAATCACTCGCTGTGCAACAATGGATTTTTGGATTTCAAAAGATTTTGTTTTATATTTGCTTCAGAATTCAGTGAATAGACCTTCCATATTGGCGAAATATTAAAATTAACGAATGAATCATACTTTCTCACGATCTTTCGACTCACCAAGAATATATCTTGTAGTTAAAACATTGTCTGGACCTTTAATATTCTCGTTTATCTTGCAGTACATTTGAAATATTTCCCTCGCAATCATGCTACCTGAACATTCCGCCTTTCATACAGCTTTGGAATCATGAGGCCGTCATTGGGACGACTGTTTTTATGGGTTAATGGTCTTTCTGCCTGTCTTTCATTTACCAACTTCTTTTGACAACATCTGTACTGGTGATTCTTTGCGTAACAGCACACACTTTTTGCCTGAAGATTTGTGTCATCCAGCTACCATGCCCCAGTATCTGATAGTGTTTTGACAGATTGAGCTTCACCAGACCTGTCATCTTGAATATTGACTACTGTAGGCAGCTGGCTTGGGTTGCCGGAGTTCTTTTATTCATCACCGAGTGTTGCTGTTGGTTTTGTTTGCTGCTATTATCCGTTCATAGTTTTTTCTACAATCATTTGAAGATTGGAATTGTTTGAGACTGTAGATAGAAAATTATTGAACCCCATGATAATTTCCATTCATGCCACGACACAAGTAGTCTGTTGCTCAACTGGTTGTTCGAAAAATACTTGAGTTGGTGCATCGGTATCTCTCTGATTTTGTTTTATCCGTCTTCTGTGAGGAAGGCCGTTTAACGTGCATTAGGTGGACGCTGCAGTGGAACCAGCGTAAGCTCGATGCGATCACGCCAATCGCAAAACAGTTGATTGGTTGGATGACCGACATCTACCACCATTAGGATTGTCGTCTCACGGACCTTCTTCAGGGATGGATGGTTGCTTTATGCCATTTGTGATTACGTGCTTTGCAGTAGTTGAAGCAAGTTTGGCCGTAACCGAGAACTGCATCGTTACCCTGGACAAGGTCCGTCGAATTTCGCCCAGAACGTTGGCAGTTTATCAACAAGTAGAACAACTGTTGGTGTTATGCGCAATTGCGCCGACTGTACATTATTTCAGCTTCACTATCAATGCTTGAGCTAAGCTCTATCTTTGGAATATTGTTTAGTTGAATGTATATTTCATACTGAAACGAAAGAGCAAAAACTCGATTTGCTGGCGACAAAATAAAATTGGCGTGTAATTCCTTCAAGACCAGATTTGATGGCGTATTGCATCGTGTCGCATGTTGTTTCTGGTTGAGGGAGGCATTAGAGCAGACCACTGCTGCATGGTATTTGAGTACCTGCAGTTTTAGATGAATCGTATTTAATTTTATTGGTACAAACTCATAGTATGATGATTATTGGATGACGTCTAATAAGTACTAAATCCGAATCATCGTTTGTGAAAAGCAAGAGGTTGATCTGGCTAACAAAATGATGCGAGGAACATCTGACGCAGCAAAGTGCATCAAGTTCAGATACCGTTGTGCTGTGGTCTGCTTGTATGGTTCCTTTGGCAACTAGGCGCGAGCAGTAATGTCATTCGTGAAATCTGATACTGGATGGATTCTGGGCCAATTATTACACTCCTGTTCACGCACTCCTGTTTTTGATGCTTACTTTGTGACTGCATCAAATAACGGTTTATGCCTAAGATTGTAGCTTATTGTTTCAACAGTGCGAAGTGGTTGTTTCCCAGAATCACAGATCCCTAACCGACGATTCGATTTATGTATTTATGGTCCAAGAACTGAATCGGTTGCGATGGCTGATTTCCAGCAACAGCCGCATCCCGCATCCAGCTCTGTCTTGAACAACGCCCAGTCAAACTGCGACCTAGACGCCATCTGGACGGCGTTTGTTTTGTTTCCAATAGATTATGCTGCGTTATTTGTTCGTCATGTTGGTTCTTATGCTTCACAGCTTGAAGGTAACTAGAAAGGAAGTTTTTGACTGATAAAATGTCAGACTTTTATGTATCTTCTTGATGAGGCCCTTTTGGCGCCCTTATTTTCATGAAGTTGATGGTACTGTGATGATCTTCTTTTCTGTACCTCGACCATCAGTGACTTATTTCAAAAACAGTCGACAGTGATGTGGCAAGCGTAGCGTGTAGTTTCCTGTTTCCTTCCATAGCGTGGTACTGATTTATCAAACTCGGAAGGAAAGCGAGTGACCCTGACCGGGGCTTGATCTGAGTATCTATTCGGTTCTGCATTCGACGCCCTACCGACTGAGCAACCCAGGTCTGAAGCAATATATGGTAAGTTTCTCGCTCTACGGAATTCTTAGTTAAGGCAGTAGTTGCCTTCCGCCTGAACCGTACCGGGTACCTCTTGCGTTCGACGCCGGCCTCTTAGGCTCCCTGTCACACACTCGCGTGTATGTAAAAACTTATGTCTGGATGGTGCTTTCAATGACACGTAACTTCTTGGACGGCCCGATCTACCGTCCGCCTGAGCCCTAGCGCGTTTGCTGTTATGACTTTATTTCCTGACCCTTTTGTCGTTTCGTTTCAAATGAAGTGTTTCTAGCCCTCCGCCGCCTGACTGGAGGTTACTGTGCTGACCTCGTCTTCGAGCTTATTTTGCGGCAATGATCGCGCACGATTTTATTCGCCAGCCGCAGAGCGACGTTTCTTCGAAGTATTGAAGCATGTTAGCCTTTGAATCTTTTGTTTGTTTAAATGAAATCTTTAGGACTGTTTACTGCGCTGTAACGCTGGCCGTTTTCAAACTACTGAAGTGCGTCGGAGTTTTCATCATCAGCAGTTTGCTAGAGAACATTCATGTGATTTCCTTGTTGTTTCTCGTCAAATTGAGGTATATCTACGCATGCAACTGTATTTTTGTTTGGCTTTTGTTTTGCATGCTGTTCCAGTTCCAAGCGAGGGTGATGGTGAGGGTTTCCTGCTGTCCCTAAACTGGCCCTAAGTAGACACATTTGGCTTGAAACACCATTCCCATTTCAGATTCGTGGGTACCTTAACCGTTGGATTATACACTGCTTGGATAGCGAAGCGAGATATTCAAACTGTGGAGAATCCAGATCTGGATATTGTGCAATACCTTTCTCACGACGCCACGGTGGAAAATATCAAGATTGAATCAGGAAATTTTTGTGTTAGGCATGAAAGATGTAGGATCAGTATTCGAATGTATCCAGTCGGGTTATTGCTAGAAGAATCCTTGATCTATGAAGGACATCTCCCTCTCATAGTTTCATGCCTTTATTTTAGTCAGAATAGATGAAGTCGAAAAATTTTACCTAGAGGCATGTTAAATAGGAAGTAACAGTAAAAGTTGGAGGCATAAACGCAGTTGTTGGAAAATCGATGAAGAAGACGTAGATTTCGCGTAAAATGTTTAGTAACAAATATCTCCTCAGCAAACCTTTTTAGAGCCAATATTATATTTTAGCAGTTAACGACAGAAAGAAGTTATGCATGGTAATCATCAGATGATTATGCTGAAAACTAGCGTGTTTATTTACTCATTAAGGTGAGTGGGAGGCAAATGTACAATATATCAAATCATTACTTGGCGCTGATATCGGGTCTGATCACCAACAGGCTATGATGAAGTTCAGAACAAGTATTCAGTGAATTAGCTGGCATCGTAAGGAAGAGAGGTATATCTTGATGAAACTGAGTGACGTTGAAGCAAGGAGGCAACTCGAGAATATCTTAGCGAACCACTGCTGCTAGTGCAAGACATTCGTTTGGTGATCTATGGCAGAAAGCAAAGCGTACTTAAAACAAATCAGCGGTAGCCAATAAGTGATAGGACATGCATAAAATAACCAATGGATCTAATAAGGGATGAAGCAAAGGAATACGGTAGGAAACAACAGAAAGTAAATTAGATGAAAATTATGGTGCAGAAAGGCATAGTAAGAATATGCGGAGTAACTTGAATTCCCGATTTAACTGTTTGGACCGGCAACAAATAATGTTTAATTTGCCGATCCATGGTCGATTACTCGTTAAGATCGAAAAAGTCTTGTATGTTCTTACGATATCGTTTGAAAAAGCAATTTTGAAAATGGGGTTTAAAATCAGCATAGGGAAACCGCAATCCATGACACTTTGCAAAACTTTATTGTAAATGTATACGAAATTTCAGCTGGGATGACAGCTGGAGTTTGATAGGGACATATATACTTCGGCGGGTAAATATCTGCGGAATGGGGGATGCGAACGTGGAGTCAAGATTCGGGTAAATTTAGGTCTTGCAATAATGGAGCGGTTGAGCATGATATTGAGGTCATCAAACACGCAATAAAAGATATAGATACTGTTGCATAAAGCTACAGTTATGTCACATTTAATGTATGAACCAGTCGCATGGATCCTAACGAAACGTTATAATGTTTTGTATTGATAACGGAGGTGGGCACTTTGAGGAACA